CCAACACAAGATAAAAACTCGTTTTTAATATATAAAAATTGATTAAGATCCTGTATAAGCTTGCAATTTACAATTTTACATAAGTTGCATAAAATCTTGGGCCTTCAAAAAAGAAAAGAAAATCTTGGCCCATGAGATATTTAAGAGAAATATGGTCCAAATGTTTCACCGGTTAATATACGAGCTGCAAGCCTGCAATTTATTTGGATGGTAGGAAATTCGTTTCTACCAATATCTAATAAGTCTAAACTCCTGCATAAATAGCTGTAATTTTTACTTGCTATCGTTACACCTTTCAATTACTCAATTACTTTTAATTAGATGATGTTTTACCAATTTTTTTTTTTTTTTTTTGACATAAGAACAATAGAGTTTTGGTCAAACATCATCTAATTAAAAGTCCTTTTTACCTAAGTCATAAATATAAAATTTTATATTAATCTACAATTATTTGATATCTCATTCATATAAAATAAAATTCATATAATATATATCAGAGGAAAGGAGTTGAGTTATATATTCCTATCAAATAAAAAAAAACTAACATAATATATATTTTTTGAAATATACTAAAAATGAATTACTTTTTTATTATTGTTCAATTTTAACAGCGGGTTTGACATTATTACAATGCTTTAAGCATGCAAAATAAACATTAAACTGCAAGAGAATACAGTCTCTCTCAATTTGAAATTTTCAGGTTAAGAAATAAAGCGATTATAGAAGGTCAGCTTACAAAGAGTGGTTCCGGTTCCACTTTTCGTCTGATCCTGAAAGAAAATTTGACAGAAAAAAACAAGTGTTAAGCAAAATCAACCCAGAAAACACTACAATCCATAGGCTCCTCTTGTATAGCTGGGCTACGTGGATGACTCTAAGAATAAAGAGGTATCATGCGGTGGTTAGTCCTTCATATAGTGATTTGTCTTTGATATTTTAGGAAGTGCAAGGGTGCAAACCATTGGCAAAATGGTTTATTCATTAACACCACTCGCCAAATAAATTACAAACTTGTGACATTTGGCAAAGTTTTCTTGTATTTTTCGTCACAAACATGGAACACCTACCATTTTCATAAAACAAACAAGTGTTTTGCACTTGCAAGTATCTATCATTATGATCAAGAAAAACTTAGAACTGATGGTACATGCAAAAGTCTAAAAATGATGTAAACTCAGACAGATGTAGGTGGCAAAGAATACAAATTACTAAACACACAACTCAGGCAGAAATTAAAGTGGGCATTGTGTAAGAGATTCAATCAAGGCAGAGGTGAATAGTGTATTATTAATATGATCATATAAATCAGAGATATCTTTTAGTAAATAAACCTTTCAATTATAACAAAGCTCCTAAAAGTGGAAAAAAGTGCTAATAAACAAATTGCTCCCATGATCTAAACTCACCAATTTTCTGGTGCCCATTTGCAGCCAACCGTATCCACCACATGCAAGCTGTAGGCATGTCTTGATTTTGGAGACTGGTTTTCAAAGCTGTCATTTGCATAGACAATCAAACAAGGGTGAATTATCAGGAATTCACCTTCAAAGGCAACTTTATTTATATTCTTCATGATACACAAAATCTGGAGAGAATTGTTTGAACAAACCTTTGATGGATAAGATCCCCATGAATGACAACCAGAGACCCAGCTTTTACTTCAACAGGAACAAAATCTTTTTGATCATAAGATGGTGATGGTCGATCAAATTTGACACCATCTTCATCTCTTAGGAACCTTCTAACAAGCCCATCTACAGGAAACAGAGAATAAAAAAGAAAAGAAAAAACATTAGATCAGATGAACCAAGCAAAGGATAAATGATTCAGGTAAGAAATAAACCAAAAGGTAGGAAAAATATACTTTTGTGAGATCCAGGAATTGCCCAAAGGCAACCATTTAATATGTTTGCATCTTCTAGGGCCAGCCATAGCCCTGTGCACGTTTGTGGTTCAGTATAAAGAAAGGAGTTATCCTGGTGTGGCACTACTTCACCCCCAATGCCCGGTTGCTGTTAGATCAAAATTTCATCACCGTGTAATGATAATGAGTAATGACCATAACCACAATTTTTATCACACTTGGAATTTCAAATACTTAAAACAAGCAAGTTCTTATGCATAAAAATAAACTATAATTGCAGCTTCCATCAGTCAACGAAGTATACAACTGCGCTAACTAAGGTGAGGCCAAAGAAACACAAGGTTCTTCTCATTCATTTTAAAATTTAATACATTTTAAAAAGAAAATTCGTAGCATGCATACAAAACTCCCAAAAAAAACCAGGTCTGAGCCCAAAATACTCATTATAACATGATTAAAAAAAATCAACCAGCCTTAATATGTTAACTACTTATAATAGAATGGGTGGGTACTCAAGTTCAAACCACAGCAATGTTGAAATAACCAACCCAAAATATATCTATAATGTATCCAAAAGACAATAAAATAATATCAAATTCAAAAGTATGCAAATAAGAAAACAAACTTTAATGGTAAATCAAAAGCAACTTTAACTAAGTTTGAATATCAACAAAACCTACGTTCAAGAGTCATTCAAAATTTAACAAGATATGTCAGTTTCAAAGAAATATATAAATTCTATTCTCCGGTGAATAGCTCAATACCAAAAATTTCCACGCATTAAACCACCATAACACTACATTTTCCAAGGATAACAATATTAAAGTGGGGAAGGTGATTTTTCCAAATCGGAATACAAATATAAGAGCCAAATTACAAAGAAAAAGAACACATCCATGACGTCCAGCTGATTCACATATCTATTGCTCATACATAATGACACAACACAATGTATTGAACTTAAGTTATTTCAACTATATGATCAGCAACTGAATGTAACAGAGACAGAAGAAAAACACACCTTAAATATATACATGGACTGCATGACTACAGGTCTCTTGTAACCTAAGGAGTGCATCAAACTTGAAACTTTATCAGAAGAAGAAAACTTCTTGAATGCCGGCTCAATCTCATGTAGAGCTGCACAAAATCACAGCACACCCCCAGCCCACAAAAAAGAAAGGTTAGATTCAAAGAAAAATGAATCAATTTAAAAGTAAGAATGCTACTCTCACAGCTCATGCATTCACAAGTCAGCACAGCAGCACAGGTGATTCCATTCCATCAAAGTTAAAAGACTAAAAAGTTTATAAACTGAGAATAGTGCACCCGCGGTCATAAACTAACTAATGGTCTATTTGGATAAATTTTTCCAGGAGTACTTCTAAGAGAGAGAAATATGAAAAAATGAAATAAGCTTTTTAATAAGCTAAAATTGGCACATAACTTAATTTGTAGATGTTCTCTTATTAGATCTTCCAAAATCTTATTTTTAACTTATGTATAAGCTAATTTTAGCTAAAGGAGAAGCTTATTTCATTTTTTTTCTTATTGTCTCTCAAACTAGAAATGCTTTCGGAGACTTATACCCAAATAGGCCCTAATTCAACTACATGATATGTGAATAGAGAGTACTCTACACCTACTTGCACAACACATACAAGCAGCTTCTTAGATGTTTTTTGTGTTGTTTTCTAATCAAAATTAAAGTTTCACCTTGATAACCTACACTATCTTTAATACAAATCTTTATTATGCAGATTATTGAAGTAAAAATCTATTTCTAGTGGGAGGACAACACCAAAAGCATATAAACAATAGCATCTAAATTTTATCCTTTCTACTTCAAAGTGAGAGATGAAATATCAGAGTCTAAAAGGCTCACCGTGGCCAACTTTATTAATGGACAGTTGCTTCGGCTGCTTTAAGTTACCATCATCACCAAAAGCTTTCTCTACCAAAAGTGAAAAGGAGAAAAGATTAAACTAAAATGAACCCCAAATACTCTAAAACTGAAAAGATTAATTTTTTCAAATACCCTCGAAGAAGAAAGAAACCCTCTCCACGCTCTCGAAAAAATAATTATCAGTCAACTGTTGCTGAAGAAAAAAAAAAAGCAAAAATAAGAGAACAGAAAAATAGTCCAATTTAAAAATGAGAATTACGAGGAAAAAATAAGGCGCAAGGAGGAACCTGGTTCTTGGTGGAGAAAATAGAGGCGGTGGAAGAAGGGTCAAAGTCATCCACCAACTGCTCCATCCTCTTCATCATGGATTCAATCTCATCGTTACTTGCGAACGATTCAATCACAAGATAACCTGCGACATGTAGTATCAAAGATTTGATTTTGATAGGTTGAGAACTAGGAATTATGCTCAAAACCAAGAAGGGTACCTTGAGAGTTGAAGAATTGGAGCTGTTCGGAACTAAGTATACCCATCTTGTGTTGTGCTTTCTGCTTTGCCTCGCAACGGAAAAGAGTTTCGATTTGCCTAGGAATATGATTGCACTCTCCATTCTCCAAAAGTCGTTTTGGATAATTTATTTCCTCATTAATTAATCATTTGATTATACTTTCAATCTTTATCTTTTAGATTTTACATTTAAAAATTATTCATTTAAGTGTCTGCACTTTCAATTTGGTTTTCGTCATGTCATTAAATAAAATTTAATATTGGTGATCTTTATATCTTTACAATTTTACAATTTTTTGTCGTTTACTATTAACAGTGTTAAAATTTATTTAATGAAAGAAATCGAAACAAAACTAAAAATGATTATTAAATTTTTTTAAATAAATAATTTTTTAAATATAAGAACTAAAAGGTAAAAATTATTGTGCAAGAAACAAGTGAAAAGTTAAATTATAACTTATCTAATTCTTGTATTAAATTAGATCATGTTATTTTGAGGGCAATTAATATTTTAATAATAATAAATTAAAATTTGAATTTATTTTTTAACTATTATTTTAGTTTGTATAATATATAAGTTAAATGTTTATTATATATAATTAAAATTTAAAATAAATTATGTGTATAAATAACTAGTATGTTTGAATATATAAATTATATTTAAAATTTGAATAAGTATGTAAGCCTCGGATTTTCTTCTCTTCTCCCTATTCTTTTTCACTTTCTCCTAACTCTTCCATTCTTATCTTCCTTAAGGCTGAACACTTGAGGAGTGGTGCTCCATAGAGTGAAAATGGGGCTGACAACATTATTGAGCCAAGGTTGCAGAGGAAGTTTCTTCTTCTTCTCCATTTTTTTCTTCTCTCACGGAACTTCGAAATCAAGGTTAAGGAAGCTTCACATTTCTGCACTTTTGGATCAATTTCTAGTTTGTGGAAGTATGAATGGTTGATTGAATGGGTTATGTTGAGGAATCTTTCTGTTTCGGGGTTTTCAGGCCAAATGGTTAATTTCTTGGTTTTGATCTTGTTTTGGTTTGCATGTTGATGTTTTAGGTTGTTTTAGTTGTTCTATATGGTTGTAAATGTTTAGAAATCAGTTGCATGTGTTGGGAATGGTTGAAATGCAGGTTGTGGATGAAAATTGCAAGTTATATATGTGTTGGTTTTAAGCACGTGTCGGGCGCGCATTCATGGCATCGGGCGGGCTTTTGACACAGCCAAATCTCTTTTTTGCATTGGGCACAAAGCTAGTCACATCGGGCAGGAGCTCGAATTTGAGCCTCTGGTTGAAAGGCGTCGGTCGGGCGTAACTTGAGATGCATCGGGCACAATATCAGTAAAGTTGAAGTGTGAGTCTTTACTAAGATCACACCGGGTATGAAGAAGTAAGCATCAAGTGCGATCCTGGTAGAAAGCCACACTCTCTTAAGCGTTAAGCGTGGGAAGCCCTGCGCTGGGCGCAAATGAGATAGAGAGTCTTGGGTTGAATTACGTCGGACGTAAAGATAGTTGCGCCAGGCACAATTTAGAAGTTGATCCTTTGACTTTGGGGCGTCGGTCGCATGAGGAGCTGCGTCGGGCGCCTAAGCACCAAAAGACACTATGTGTCTTTGGCGTTGGGCGTAGGTTGGGTCGCACCGGGCACATATCACACGACCTAGTCTAATACTAGTACATGTGTGTGTTGTCTTTGGTTGACTTTTAATTGATGAGCATGAGTTGTATAGTTTTTGGTTGAGGATGTTTACATGTTTAATGTTGATGATGTTATATTGATGTGTTGTATTAAAGTTGATGATGTTATAATGATATTGAGATGTGTAAGTTATAAGTTATTTATGTTGCAAAGTTGTATGAAAGTTGTTAAGTTGCATAAAGTTAATTAAAGTTGTTTGAAAGTTGTTAAGTTGTTTATTAAAGTTGATACCATGAAGAATATAGTTATAAAGTTGTTAAGTTGAGGACATATGGTTGATGATATATGTCTTATGTTGAGATACATAGTACTAAGGTGAAAGTTGAAAGTTGTTTTATAGTTGAATCCCTTAGTACTATGTGGACAACATGAAAGTAGTCAATCCATATTATGGTTGAAAAACCAAAGTAAGTAAGGTATCTAATTAGAGATGTAGTCTTTGATTAGGTACTAGAGAGGGTGCATGGTACTTGGAGGGCAATAGGTGGACTAACTCTACATGTGGATTGGTGATGCAAACCAAGGTCGTGTTACGCTCATACCCAACCCTTCTACCCTAACAATAGTACTGTACATTCAACTTTAAGTGGCACACTTGAGCAATTAATTATTATTGTCTATACCTAGTTTTCTTCAAAGTTCCTAACGTTGTTCTATACTTGACCTGGCTGAGATAGGTCTAAAGTTGGATTCAGTAGGATTTATGCCACCTAGATTGCTCAACCTCAGTTGTTGGAGATCTCCTAAGTGGTATATGCATGATGAAACTTTAGTTGATGTTGCATATGTTGTTGTATACATTGATGTATGTGTTGTGTTTTAAAGTTAAAGTTGAAAGTTAAATGATTGTATTCTATATTGTTGCTTATTTTATGATGATGTTGTTTTATGATAATTGTTATTGTGAGCTTACCCTAACTATTTTTCCTTGTGGTTAGAATTGCGATGACCATACTTTAATATGCGAGCAGATCAAGGGTAGATGCTTGACAGTGTTGGGAAGGCAAGCTTTTGGCTGTGACTTAGTCAAGGAGTTAATATTTTGTTGTTCATATTATGATCGGCTGCCTAGTTGTTTTGAATAGAATATCATATCATACTCTGAGTTGTATATATGTATATGGGATTTAAAGTTGTTCGTTCTCATTATGTATATAGTTGTCGGGATGTGATATTTTATTTTATGCATGTATCTGTATGGTATGGACTGTGTTATTGATACATTGTTCACTAACGCTATAGACTGTGTGAGACTTGACGGGTCGTTACAAAGTAGATATTTTTAAATACATAAATTATATTTTAGATTTGTGATAAATAATTTATATTGTAACACAAGATTACTTTATTTATTGATAATTTATTTTAAAAAATGTAAATTTAATTCATAAGTAATTATAATAAATAAAAATATGTTACAAATTTAAATATATTTTTAATTCTTCAAATTTAAAATTGATCTTCTTAATTCCTATAATTAAAAAAATATATTTTAACCCTTATTTTGTCTCCATGTGATTAAAGAGAAGATTTTAATAAGATAAATTTTAAGAAATAATTAAAATGAAATAAAAGTTAAGGTATTTATTTATATAAAAGAGTAAAGTTTAAAGATCAGTTGTGATTATATTTGAAATTTGAAGTATCTATTTTTAAAAGAGATAAAGTTTATAGAAATTTTTTTAAGTAAATTTGATATTTGAGTACTCTTTTTTTCATTTTTTTTTTATAATTTTAACCTTATTTTGTAATTTTAACTATTATTTTAATTAATTGGATTTGAATTTGAATTGAAGTAAGAAGTATTAATCTAATTTGTTAATTTATGATATTATTTAAATTTGATTTAAGGAAAATATTAATTTTGTAAACTTGAGTGATTCACTTCTCATTTATTTTTTATTTATAAGTTAACTGCTTTATTTGTTTAAAAAAATGTTTGAAATAACATCGTATTGAATATGGAATGGATTGATTACTCAAGTTTATATAAAATATTATATATATATATATATATATATATATAGAGAGAGAGAGAGGGGGGGGGGAGAGAGAGGGGGAGAGAGAGAGAGAGAGAAATTTTTTTTTTTTGTTAATTTCCTTGATTCTCTTCTGAACTTATACCTTGCTTTTTAGGAGATTGAATGTAAAAGAAATAAAATTTACATATAAATATGATAAAGTATGCTTCACTTTTTTAAAAGTATGAAATATTAAAAGAGAAAAAAAATTAGAGGTTTGTGACTTATTGAGTATATTTCATTGCATTTTGTAAGGAGAATATTGCCAAACGAAAATTATTAATATGGTTTCTTAATCAACATTTATTTCTTCAATGGAGCTTTGAAGAAGCGCATAATATTAGAAACATTAGTATAGACTTAGTTATGTAACTAGAGAGCATATACGTAGCGTCTATTTTGCCGTAGAGTATAACACATTTCTCGTTAACCAAAATGATAGGATTTTTTTAAATATTATTAAATGTGATATACGTTGTGTAATTAAATATATACTAGGGCATTGTTGGTGCAGGGTTTTATCATTGTGTGATATGGTATGAAATATGAATGGTGAACTAATTACATCCACTGGTATCATCACCAAAACAATGGGCACCAATGTAAAAGAATAACAAATGCGTACAGCCATACACCTACGTAGCTAACAATGGGACCCTCAATAGGAGGGTCAACAAAATACAAAATTGAAACAGGAACAAAAAAAAAATCTAAAACAGAACAATAAAATAGTATGGCGAGACACCCTGAAATTTTGTAAATGTACAGAGAGCTTGCTACAGCCTTAACACATGAATATCGTAGTCCAGGTAATGTACAGGCAGGGTGTGAAGGAACATGAGTTTTCCCTTTAGCTCTTTAAACAACTTGTTCGATACAGCAGGTGCTCATTCATATATGAAACATGGCTCTGTCAATGTTCTGGTTCTGGAAGAGATTCCCGCAAAGGAACAGTTTCCATTCTGTTCTGAATTGGCATCATGCACAAAAAAGATGCCACTCCATTGAAATTCAATCCAAATAGATAATCAGATCAATGAGACCTTCAACAAAATCCTTTGACCTCCGAAAATGGAGTGTTTGCCCTCCCATCAAATGGAAAGGGGAAAAAATGAAACAATCACAATATCAGAAATACAGTCAGCAGCAAGGCATGCTCACAAAATCGTAGGGAACCGAGACACCATCATATTCTGTGAGTAGATCAAGTTGCTGATGAAGATCTTGAATCATCGGTTCTATTGGCACGGCACATACAATCTGGGCATGGAAAGCTGTATATAGAATCATTCGGTCTTTTGAGCTCAACTCCCTTCGAATCACTATGCGACCTCATGCTAAGCAGTTGACGCTTGAGACTTCTCCATCTGAAGTAATGACAATAGAGGAGGGACATTTAGATATACTAACTACTAAGAAAAAAAATGTTTAGCACTTCCTAATAGCTACAGACCTCTCATTGAACAGTCAGGATTGTATACAATGTCTAAGAACTTAACAGCAGAATTGCCGAGCTATATGATTCTTCAAAAACAAAACCAGGAACTAAACATATTCTATAAAGAGCAATTCTATGAACCAAACATGTTCTACAGACCTCTTAGTTTCAATTGGAGTCAAAGTCAGTTGTGTATAGTTGTAAATGCAAGCGTTGCATTATTCTTATATATAGGATATATATATTTCTTGGTGGCCAAAACATAGCTCAATAACCTAATTTACCCAAGAGTTTTCCAAGTAAATTCCCTCCAGTTCAATATAATAATAATGACATTTTCTTCAAAATAACCTGGTATTGATGCCACTTATCCTGAATTGTAACTATAATTACTTTCAAATTCAATTTCAACAAGACAATATGCCAAGGGACGGGAATTTTTTTGAGGGATATAGGGAACTTATCCAATTTATTCTATCTATCCATGTAAAAATTGAACAAAACAAAATATGCCAATACGTAACATACCCTATATTGGGATTATCAAACAGTAATGCTAACTTCCGCTTATCAGGTTTAATTGTCTTAGCATGTCCCCCGTACAAGTATCTTCTGTGGCCCAGCAGAAAATGAGGGAAGTTGCCACCCTGAGTTGTAACAAACACCTCACTGTGAAGACAAACAGTGTAATCTATGGCAGCCATCCTGGAAGAATAATTCTAGAAGAAATAACTCAAGTCAAAATCATAGCACTAAACCAATGATGGAGTGGACAATTAATATAGAGTACAAATGTAAACCTTAAATGGAGCAAGTTCCTCTTCAGAAGCCAGAGTATCCTTAGTATGCAAATTAGGGAACATTTCAAGTAGTGGAGCCATTGTTTTGTCAGCATTATATATTTTCCCAGATGCCAAAAAGATAGATGTGTTCTTCGTGAAACCCATTCCCCTAAGCATAAGGCCAACCTGAAGAGATGGGTGAAGGCATTGATTATAATTAAAACAAATTCAATTAGGGGTAAAACATAACAAAATTTGTTGCATAGGGAGCACCTTCAAGAAAACTTTGGAAACTTCTAGCTAGACTAGCAATTTCCAAAAAGAGAGAAGCACTCCCAGAAATTTTCTTCCTCGTACAGAATAAAATCACTAGAGCTGTAAGGAGACAATTACCTCTAATGGGGTAAGGGGACACTTCCCATTGATCCTGATTGCCCCTGGACGAATAACTCTTCCAGGTTTTGTAAATTTCCCTTTCCAGCCTCTTTCTCTAGCAGCAACCATGTCTTCTTTCTCCTGTTTTCCACCGTCAAAAACGCAACAAGAGAAAGCAACCATATCCTGCCCATGGTAACCATGTACATCAGTTGCAACAAAGATTAACATGTCAACACTCATAATTAATATTAACATTCATATCTGATCAAAACAAACCTCTTCAAAACGAAGATGTACGGAGACATATTTGCCACCATTAATGGCACTACGTTTTCTCATTCTTTCAACCAAAGTTTCACCTATGGTCAATATAGGACTTGAAAACCGTAAAGCCTCATAATTTGCTAAGCATCTTAGACGCTGGACAACTGGTGGAGCATCAAATGACAATCTATTTGCAAAAGGCGAAATCCTTATAACCCTGCATGAATAAAATTAAGTTCAATATCTACATTAGAGCTCCCAGCCTCCTTATCTCAAGATAATAAACATATTTGATAATATCAACTTTACAGCAAAATTATCTGTTGTTTGTTATGTCCCACATTAAGTAAAGATGGATCCTCATTGTGGTATTTAAGCTATAATATAAGACACTCCCCCCACCCCCCCTAAAACTAATCCAAATGGAAAAGCAGCGAGAAGGAATAGTTACTAGCTGTGAATGAAGCCAGCTATACCATACTACAGCAAAGAGGCTACAACACTACAACATTGTATACTACTCTCTTCTGCCATATACCTGGGACTACTAATTACTCGGTTTAATCGAAAACTATTTATGATCAATAAGAAAATAATTTATACAACAAACAACGTATACTCACTTTTCTTCAAGTAACTTAGGGAGTACCACATCTTTGTAATACTGAATAGATGACCATGCCTTGATCCTGAAATTGTGAACGTTTGTCATGTTGCTGCCAAATCTTTCCATTAGGTACTCAGGAATCTTGTCAACCACCCGTACATCATTTTTTAAGATTTTGATAAAATATTCTTCATCATATATGTCCCTGAATTTGCTGGACACATGAAACATTATAGATCAGTCTAGACTGTACCAAAATGAATACCTTGATCAAAATCATTAAGAACATCAAGAAACTCACTGCAACCAAGAAATTTATAAAGCATAATATAAATGCAAAATATTCCATTTGACAAAACAGCCTACCAACAGCTGTATTCAATACTGGAAATGGATGTTTCCTCTATTAAGGGATGGTCACTAACAAAATATAGTGAGACTTCACCATTTGAATGTTTTAACTCCTTAACTGACACAATAGAAAATCTTAACAAGTAGTTTCAATTCAAATGGTAATCTCTCAAACATTTTGGTAATCCAATTTCATCACCTGATTACAATATCTTGCATTGGATAAAGGTTTTCCACTGTTCTAGTTTTCCTGTTTTGGAGGATTTAATATCCTCTAGTAGTTGTGCTTTACCCCTTTCTCTTTATAAATAATTTTATTTTTCAATTTTTTTTAACAATAGCATGTGGAATATATATATATGACATAATTGAATTAACAGTCTAAAATGTATTAATCTTATGCCAGCATAAGACATTAAGATTTTTCTAGTCCTGAAAAACTTATCGATAGCACAACAAACTAACCTGGGATCTTTCCATATGCTATGATAATGAAAGTTGGGGATCACAAGGGTAGCATTAAGATAGCCAGCCACAGCAACTGCATTGCATACCTACAAAAAATTGATATCATTCACAAAATAAATGAGTTAAGTAAAAATACATTAAGCACACTTTGAATATGTGGAAACACAGAATATACAGAAGGCACTTACTGATGTCCTCTGCTGATTTAACCCACCATTAGCCTCAACATATATGTATCCATTTGATTCAGGTAGGCCTAGCAACAACATAAGAAATATACTTTCATTGTTAACAAAACACAGTACACTGCAAAAGATACAGACATGGTTTCCCATATATATATATATATATGCACACAGACAAAGAAATCACCAACAATATCAGTTTGTGCCTAAGGTATCCCGACAAGAATGGTCCATTTCTATACTTCATACATTAACAGGAAATCAGTGCTTTCAACCAAAAAACAATTACCTCCCAACATTTTTTTCTTTAGATAGAAAATAAAAATTTATTACAGATAAGGGAAAAAATACAAGGGTAAGGAAAAAATACCCTACAAACAAGAAAATACTACACATGACAAAAAAGTTTGTAAAGACTCAAGAATGTAGCAAGGCTGCCCAATCTCCAAATGCGAGTAAGAACATGACCTTGACAGCTCACACAACTGGAGCCGAACACCCAAGAGATGCCATAAACATAAGTTTAGAGGTAAAAAGATGTCATCAACCATCTATCCAAAAGCTAAAGCTGTGATGTGAAGACAAGTCAATGGTTTTATATTATATCTCTAACATGCTCCTTTATACAAGGGCCTGTAGGCTTAAAGTGTCGATAATGTATAGGCTCGTCTACCTTGCACTTTAATTCAAGTTTTATTTGAAGAATAGGGGCAGCAAGGATAAAACTCTAGACAATCTGGTCATAGAGGTCTTATGCCAAATTAGAAATGAATTGAACCTCACTCAACTCCCAAAGCTAGCTCAAGGTGAAGGATTGCCCAAACCTTTTAAGGAGTATTTTGGTCATATTCCTATCCAAATGTAGGACACCTTAACACACCACTTCACACCAAGGACTAAACATCTGATGCATGAAGTTTGCAAGTATGTACATCTATAGGGGGCCAACATCATACTAGATGTTCTCTGAACCATCTATCCCAGAAGCTTAAGCTATTAGGTGAAGACACACTAATGGTTTGTGTGATATCTCTAACAAAAAAAAACATCTTAAAAAATGCAAGCATAAAGCTCCAATGGAAGGAACCAAATGAGTATCAACAAGGAATAGACAAATCAATGGTACCAAAAGCACTATGGAACAAATAATGAGAAAAAGGAAAATGTCATCATTTATTGTGCATCAATACAGATTATGGTATACCTTCTGAAGATCTGTTCACACATGGTTTCCACTCACCACCTCTATATGGACTCTTCCATATTGTTGATATCTGAAAGGAAATTTACTAGCTTGTCACTAAAAGAAAGTAGTCATATAAAAAAAAAAAAAAAACAAACAAACAAACAAATTAAATTGAAAAAATATGAAAATTTGTAAAGTACCATGGAAGAAACCAACAAAAGACCCAGATTTTAAAAGAATATAATAATTACAAAAAGAAAAGGAAAAAAGACATGAATTTTGTCCCAAGTTTTGAACATGGCATCTACCTCCTTTCACCAAATATTACCATCAAACGTGAAATTTTGTCCCAAGTGCATGCATGAATTCTCTGCTTATAAAAAAGACACGTCAATTCTTAATATATACATGATACAATATACATAAGCACATAATTCCCTTTCGTTTATTTTAACAATCATTATTATCATCTCAAAGGAATCCCTTGGAAGTTGGGCCAAGATTAGTTTTTTTATGAAAAAAAAATCTAGTTAGAAGCTAAGCACAGGAACAAGCAGCAAAAATAAATTTGATGCTTCTGCCAATGGTTTTTTCTTCTAGTGCCACCCAGCTTCCTTACCAAGAATCTCATGTTAGGTTTGACCCAATGTGAATCTCAAAGTCGAGCTTAGACCACCATTTCCTATCAAATCACCAGGTCTTATGACCTACCCTTATAACTCGAAAAAAAAAATGGAGGAACTTCGGTACCCAAAATTAAGCACAAAAAAGCAAGTACGGCCATTTCAAATTTTCAATCAACCTTATACAGTATCACTATAGTTTTCTTATACACATTGTTGAAATTCAGTTATCGTATATAAAAGGCGATAATACACTTAACTAACATGCATAACATAAAACATTAACACCTTGTACTCCTATTCATAACGATAATCAAGGTCGAGTTCAAATATATGCAGTACAACTAATACAATCGCGGTCCACCAAAACCCCTAAAATGATAACACTCCCAAGCCCTGACACAACAATAATCCTAACATTGTCAGAAACAATTCATCAAGCAGCTTTGACAATTAGAACAAATTTCCTCTATTCGAATTCCGCAACCACGCAGTTCTAAAGCACACGGTAACTAGAAGAAAATAAAACACATCACAAATCTAACACCAGAAAAAAAAAAACGCATCACAAAAAGCTCTTCCATGGCAAGTCAATCAAATACATTCGAAATCAAGATGCAAAACGAACGACAAATCGAGACGCAAAACGCAGACGCCAGAGGCACATTAGGAAAGGCAAGAGAGCGAAAACGGAGTTCGAAGCGAATTTCCAAATAGCCAGAGAAATCCATCGAAATACGAATAAATGAGAGAGAAAAAAATAGGTAGAGATTTGAAAAGAATCGAACCGCATCGGCGGAGGAATTATCGGAATCCATGTCGAGGCGAAGCTTGGCGTAGAGCTGAGGGCTACGGTAGACGGAGCCGGGCGCAGGGCGGTGCTTGATGACCGGAACGACGTCGAACGAGGCGGTTCCCATGTAGAGGAGCATGCCGGAGATGTAGATGAGAGGAGCGAAGAGGAAAACGCCTTGTCGCCGAAGCAGAACCGAAAGGAACATCCAGCTGAGCCGCTGCGCGGCGGTCCGACCGCCCCCCCGGTTGGGAGAGAACCGCCCGGTCTTGGACCGGCTGTGGCGTAGCCTCGGCGACCGGAGCGGCGACGGCGGCGGCGACGGCGTCGAGTGGCCACTGCTCGGTAGCCGGTTG